AACTTGGGTTTCTTTTTATGTTTCCTTCTGCCAGGGCAACTTATGAGTTGGCCCTGTGACAGCTGAGAAGGATTATGCAATACCATGAAGATGTGATTAATATATTTTAGGCTACTGTAATCATATTCAGTTGCATAATTATCGTAGAGGTGCAACAGTAAGCTAAACTATGTTTTGAAGGCAATGGTATAAATGAGCACTTTCGGTTTATTAAATTCCTTGTCAGAAGGAGGAGGAAATGATGTGCAGGTCTGCAAGAGCTGTGTTGCAGACTCCAGAGATTCTGCTGATAAAACATAGGAAATGTATGGTTCTGCCCTAAATATTTTAATCTTTGTGTGCCTAGTTACAGGCTTTCACAGAAGATAATCTGTTAGTGTCACACCTTGTCTGTTATAAGCCTGAAAAACAAATCTGAGTGTTTCTTCCCCAGGCTCTGGTGCCATGGGAATTTGCTGCAGAAGTTTATCAAAAATGAGTGCTTTGATTTATTTACACATCTCAGAATCTGTGCTGGTAGATCAGGACTGCAGTAATCAAGGTGGGGCGGGTGACAATTTAATAGGTTGCATATGTGTTTAAGTCTAAAAACATAAATTAAAATATGAAGTTGGTAGGGTTTATTTCACAAACTGGAAAAATAAAACTACATTGGTATTAGGGCATCAAATTCCCTCTTCACAAATGATTATTTAGAAGTACCATTCCCACTTGAAGTTAAGTGAATATGGCTGTTCCAGATTATGCATGTGGCAGTTTCAGAGCAAGGCTGAGGGTCCCGTCTGCCCCCCGAGATCTCCACATTATTCTCAGTCTTTCTGAAAATGCTCAGATACCTGGGAACAGAAAAACAGACTCAGCATTTCTGTTCATCCCCTTCCTTTCTGCCATGACACAAATATTAGTAGAATTATCTGAAGACTTAAGGAAGCAAACTTTTTATTCCAAAGCTTTTATTTTGACATTGATTATGGTTTCTCCGAGTATATATAAATTTGGATTTGATTTTTGAAAGGAAAAAAAAATCCTTTGTTGCTAGATCTTATAGCAGTCAGGTCACATCAATTGGCAGATCTGTATACTTAAGGGATTTTTCTCTCTAATTAAATGCAGTAGTAATGTCTTGCCTTTTGAAATGAAGCCTTTGTTTTTTTTCATCTGCATACTTACAGAAAAAACATGCTGTCAAAATCCTTAATGTATCCAACTATTTGGACGTAAAGAACAGCATCAAGCTGTTTTTTGTTCTGTTGAAGTGTGCTCATATTTCCAATCTGAATCTTTTGTACCTGGTGATCTTAATTATATTTGAGCTGGAAGTAGTTTAACATTAAAGGGAATTACAGCAGATTAATCTGTAAACCTGCACAAATATGCCATTCCTCTGTATGGAGGTAAGCAGGGCATAGAGTGCATAATTATGTGTTGTTCTCTGTGTAGGCTGTGTGCATGAGGCTGAGGAGTTGGTGCTGCCATTCCTCATGACAGCAGCAGATATGGCATGTTCTCAGGTATTGCAGCTGTCAATTACATTAGAAAACATACATTATTCCTCCCAGTAAGGTAATCTTTTAATCATGGACAACCAACCAAAACAAAAAAAAAAAAAATTAAAAAACTAACTTGCCCTGGAAACAGAAATTAGTATACTAATTAGTGTATGAACATACAGAGAATTCTTTTAAACAATGTTGTTGTAATTTTTTTTCTAAAGTGATATAGCTTGAGGTCAACCCAAGAAGGACATTTATCTCAACCAGTCACCAGCCATTACACTTTTTGCAACTAGAGAGAAAAGAAAATCTCTAAAAATTAATTGGGAGAGGTATGTTTCTCCAGTCCTGATGCAAAAAAACATCACTAGGATCCAGTTGCAGCATTTTGGCCTCAGTTAGCATGGTAGGGAAGCACAGTGTCAGCAAACAAGAATCATGGTTCATACTGGTAAATGCAACTTTTTAATCACAAAGTATCAGTTGTTTGTCTATGATTAAAACCTTTGGACTTGCTTGTGATTTTTAGCTCGGGTGGCACCGTTGAGCCCATTTAGGAACAGTTTGCAAGATGACAGGTAGAAAATTGAAGTTCCAGAAAAATACAGGAGAAGAGCAAGCTGCTCACAAGCAGCCTGAGTTGCAGAAGGAATGCTCTGGGACTGCGCTAGCTTCCTACTGGGCAGATTCCGTGAGAGTTTTCAGGTGGCAGAAAATTTCCTAGTTAGTTTGATGTTGTGGCATAAGCTGTTGCCTCATTGCAGTGGCTCGGGAAAACCTGTCAAAAATTTTAAATTTAGCATGTATATGTCTACCAGAAATGAAACTTCTTGTAAGTGTCAAGTATTGTCTGCATTTCATGAGACTGATGCAGTTGCTGCCTGTAGGACTGGTGTTCTGACAGTTCTGGCTTTGTCACTGTCCCGTTGCTTCATGTCCTTTGAGTAAGGAGCACCCTCTCCAGTGGTGTTTTTGGAATCCTACTGGTGAATGTTGATGGGTTGATGGTCACCACAAATGACCTTCCTCAAAAGCGAGAGTGCCAAAAGTAAAACAAAGGTTTGCAACTTGTCATTATAAGATAATTCTGGGAATTTAAGGGGAAAAAAAAAAAAAAAAAAAAAGGCAAACAAAAAACCCCTGAAACAGGACAAAAAAAATTCTGCCCACTTTCAATGGCCTTGTCCTGCCCTACAATCAGCCTCTGGCTGCTGGAAACCAAACCCCCTTTCAACACAGTAGGTGTCATGTTTTTTCACTGCTTTTTGTGATGTTTCTTCTAAAGCAGTAGTACAATGCACACCAGGACTTTGCAGGTTTCCCCATGTAATGGTGCCAATATATTTCCACCCTGATTTGTAGTCTGTCTGTTATTACAGACCTTGATCCCTTCTGAGCACAAGTGCTGACTCTGCCAAATGCACATAGTTGTTCTGTGATGAGGACAAGGATCATCTAGCGAATAAATGGAGAACTCAGTATTCAATTTAGTGGTGACCTTGAATTTGATCTCTCTTCTATCCTTAACAGCCCAACAGTCAATCTCTGTCCTGTTTAACCCATGTCATTATTGCTGTTCTATCATACAGCAACTGCCTTTTCCTTGACACTGCACGTTTAAATCACCAAAAGAAAGAAGAGAGAACAAGGAAAGAATTATCATAAATTCTTCTTAACCTTTTTCTTAGTAGTGTCAGGAATGGCTGCACAGGTCTTTCCCAGTCTTTCTGTTCTTTTTTTCTATATTTGTCTGAGGTAGAAACCACAAGTTTGATTGATAATGCAATTTGCATCTTGAGGCATCACTGGAAATACAATGGCATGAAAGGCTACTCTGGCAGAGCACACTTTTCCCTCAGGGCTGACTTTAGAAACTCATTGATGTCACTTCCTTCCTCAGTCAGCAAGTGAATTTTCACTAATTCTCAAGACCAGCTGTCCATGCTGTCAACAGAAAGTTATTAAAATTCCTTTAAAGTGAATCAAAATAGCCTAAAAACAAATGTACTGGGAAACAGGAAAGCATCAGTATTCAAAGTCCACAAACCTTTGAGCAAAATAGTGTTGATCTAACCAGAGATTTCAAACACTCTGCTTTCCTAGCAACTTGTATATCATTAGAGAATGCTAAAAACACACACCCCTTTAATCTTCTATTACCAACAATCTATTTGGCTAAAATATTTGTTACAAGAATAAATCTTATTTCTCCTAAAGATGAACTCGGTGAGCAAGGGAATACATTTTAAGAAGTCTCCCCTAAATGATAGTTTTGTGGAGTTTTTTAAAAGTATAGTTATTATATTTAGCAAATAAAAACACAAGCATGCAGGAAGTAATTATCATAAGAGACAATCTTATAATATAGCCTGAAGTAATCATCTTCATCGGAATAATCTATAATGCTTTCATTGAAAAGAGGAGTAGTCTCAGGGATGGGAAGGATCATTTTCCTTTAAGTAGAGTCTTTATACTTATACTATATTTTAACACTTTAAATATTTTCACCTCATTTTAAAAATTCTGCTTGTGCCACACTTATCAATATGGAAAAGTTTTGTTGAAATGGAATATCCTTTCCAGGGCTGGAGGTGGCAGCCACCTGAGCTGGGCAGGCTCCCCTGACAGTTAATAGTGATACTGACAGCTTGGAAGTCCTGTCCTATCATTATTATTTTTAAAAACCCTCAGGGAGCACGTAGCCTAGCTGGATAGGCAAGTGTGAAATTCCTGACTTTCCCCAATATGTGTGGACAGTCTCCAGTAGCAAACTGATACCAGCTGCCCTTTTGACAACTAGTGCATGGGAGCAGTAAATGGAACAAATTACTGCCCCTTTTGGTCAAAAAGCAAAGAACAGATTTGAGGTGTCCTTGCTGCTAGAGTCCCAGACAGTGTAGAAAAGCAGTGTTCTGTCTAGGTTTTGATTTTATCTCCATGAGCACACTGAAGGACACTGAATAAGAAGGCCAGAATAAGGAAACAAGACCATAATTCAGCTTGCCACTTTGTGGATAATATCAGGATAGAATTTCTCCCTGGGCCAGCTGGTGCTGACCCTCAGTCTTGACACAGGCATTCAACTTTATTTTAAGGTAATGGCAGAAGTTGCTTTTCTCCTCCAGTGGTCACATCGTGAGTTGGATGCTACCAGTCTCTTGGTCACGTAGTACATCTTGCAACATTAAGAGACTTCATACTACATGTTAGAATTTTTTTTCTCCCTTTTGAATATTTAAGTATTTTGTGGTGTTCCAGGTTAGCAAGATTGGCTACCTATCTCAATCTTCTTTCTATCACATCTCTTTTATAGTATTTATCTCTTTTATATTGTTTATTTTAGGTGCATTTCCATTTCAAACTGTCAAGTAATTTCTACATGTTAAATTCTGTTTCTTAATTATAGGTTTTGATTATTTTTTTACTAATTTACTGTTTGTTGCTCTGCATGTCCCCTATCATATTGATTAGAATACATGCAAACTATTTTTTTTCTTTCCTTTTCAGAGTCTGGAAAAAAACTGCAACAAGAGACAATTAATCAGGTATTTGGACTTTTTGTTAACTTAATTTTTCAGACAGTAGAGTTGTGGCAAGTAGAAAGGAGAACTTCATGAGATACACTAAAATTAGCAATACAGGTGTGCTAAGGAGCACGTGTCAGACAACTTGCTGTCTCTGCAGATGTGTTAAATTCACAAGAGTTGCCATCATTTTCATCTAAGATTTACCATTTAAGCAATTCAGCTCATCTACTTCCTGTGTTGGTGCTGAGGACAAAGCCCAGAGGTAATTTGTTCATTGGTATCAAATTTTGCAGCACAACATTATGCCTTTTTTTCTTTTCTGTTTGCTAGTATTCCTTTTAAAAGGCAGAAAGCTACTGATATAAATACCTGAACTACACATGTAAGCAGTGTATCTTAGTGTTTCTTAGATTATTTCTGCCATGAATTTTCATTGAGGCTGCACTAAACTGTGGCATTGCTTGCAGAGGTATTTTCCATCCTGGCCTTACTATTGTATCAAGAGTTATTTATGAAAAAACTTTATATATTGTAATTTGTCATTTCAACATCAGGAAAAGCATATAGGAACTAAACTGAAAAAAAATTCTAACCAGAAAGAGAGGAGGAAACACAGAGTTTGCTTTCCTCAGTGACATGCCCTTGTGGATTGAAAGGACCCAACTCCACAGAAGCAGTGTGCTTGCTTGCCATTCTCTGGCTTCTTGTCCTCTTGCTGAATGCTGTTGTCCAGATGGCATATAAATGGGCATCTGGATTGTTTGTGAGATTTATTTTGAAATGCCACTTAAAAGGCAGTCATTAAAATATTTGCAGTCCAGCAATTACCCTCCCTTAAGCCATCTTCCTTCTAAGCTATATATGGAGGCATTGCAGTAATTACATCACAGTTATCTGTGAACTGATCACCAAGGTGAAGGACTAACCTGACAGGGGACTGACCACCTAAAGCAGCCAGGTTTGGGTCTTACAACAAGTCCCCTGCCATGGCTGAGCATGGCACAGATGCCAATGTGTCACTTTCAGTGGCCTGAGCTGGCACCACTCAGAACCAAGTAAACCCTTGCATGGCTGCACACTTATGGGAAGCCTGGTCCTGTGGCACAATGCAATATTCAGAGTTTTTACAACATTCTTATTATTGAGAAACTGATGGATAGATATCTAGTCCAGAACATGGCATTGCATTAGCAAAGGAAATCTTTCACTTTTTAAAATAACTGTAGAAATATTTTGGAATTTAATGGGAGTTATGTGCTTTGACTGAGATTTTATATCCTAGAACAAGTCTAATTAGCTTTTATAACCGAAACTGCATTTTAAAATTAGCCTGAAATCTCTTGCAAAGCCACTTTTGGGAGTCTCTGTTGGCCAGAAGGGGGGGCACTTGTATCTTTAAACCGCAACTTGAGACAACACTGGCAGTGTGTGAACGGTTGATTGGAGACCCAATTCTGCACATTTTCTGTGTTACAAAATCTGCTCGGTGCACATCATTGCGCTTTTCTGAGGAAGAATGTATTGTGATAAAAAAAAAAAGCCCAAAAACTTGCCACGTTTTCAAAGGATGGATAATGTGCTGTACTTTGTGTGACCGGTCTTGATCTTTTCCTGCATGCCACTGTCTTGCCTTCATTGAATGGTTCACCTGCTCTGTCTCTCTGCAGTTAACCTAAGAGTATCTAATTTTGGAAGAATATTATGTTGTCTTGGTATGCTGAACGTATCTAAATAAAGCTGTTAAAATTTGATTTGTGGACATGCCCATTTAAATGGCTACTACTTCAGCTGGTGATGTCCCATTCCAGCTGAATATCCTTTGGATTTCCAAGAAGAGTATTTCAGAACAGAAATCAATTTAATTTTCAAGTTTGTCATTTAGGGCACAATTACATAAGAACTTAATATTTGGTTGGTACTTGTATTGCTTCAACAAAAATATTTAAACGAGTGTTGATCATGATGGAATATTTGTAATTGGAGGATTCTTTTTATTTTCAATCAATACTGAAGTTAAAATTTTATATGCAGGGTCAGATCCTTAAGTCCCCTTTAAGTTCAGTTCAGCAACAGTGAGTTAAACTGGCTGCCAGTAATTTAAGTGAGGGAGAAGCTCTCTGCAGAAGATGGATGATGTTACGACTTGACAGGAGCAGGAGTGCAAAGGGGCAAATAGCAGGAAATATCTTGTTGAGAGGTGAGTGAAACAGAGAGGGGACGGAGAAATGATAAAGCTGCTGTCCCAGTGATCTGCTGGGTAATCCCTGACTGTCTCTGTGCATCTGGGACCTCTCTAATCTTGAAGACCACTGTGGTTTCTGTGTGGTTCTTAGTTCTTCTAAAGCCTAAGCAAAGTTTAGTGAAACATGACATAGACAAAACACTAAGGGAGTATCTGCTTCCAGAAACCTTTCACTACAGCTGGCATCTTCACTATCTTTTGTTCCCTTTAATCATAAGGCATCTGCTGGTTTTCCTCAAACACCATTCTTGTCATTTATGTATATAAATATGTATATTCATTTAACAGCAGTGGTCATCTACCACCACCAGTCAGCCAGATGTAGCACACACACTGCCTTTCATACCTGTTTTTAACTACCTTTGCAACTTCAAGGGTAAGTCCTGGCACCAATGTACAGCTGTTTACTGTAGCATGTTAATGACAGCTGAGGAAAATGAAAGGAAGCAAGAAAAAAATTTTGTGTTTTTATGTAACAGTATTGGCAAAACAACACACTACATACCACCAATCAAAATGTGTCTGGGGAAATCCTTTATGTTTCATCCTTAAAGCTCATATTCGCATGTGTTGTCTTTTTAATATACACTCCTACATACAGTTGTGTCCAGTTCCTCAATCAAACACTCTGAAGGAGTGACAAGAATATGTGTTGTTGCATTTGGAAGTTGAAGTTGCTTGCAGATACAGACTTTTGGTTTAAAAACCCAGCTGTGTTTTTGCTCAGACTTGAGCCTGTCCCTTCTGCGATGGTGTTGCAGGTCAAGTGGGGAGACCACACAATATCTGTCCCCCTGTCTTGTCACTGAGGAGTTTTTTGTCAAGGCAGACTCTCTTGAAGTGGCACATCCCTGCCTCAGTCAGTGCTCTGTCAGGGAGTATTCTCCTTTCTGCATGTGGGGCTGCGAAGCAGGAACACAGAAAGGATAATGATGAGGCAATGCACTTGCTGGAGCTGGGGTTGGACCATGGATTACTGCAGCTCCGACATACTGTCAGTATATGCACACCTTGTACCAAAGAAAAGAAGTCAAAGATAACTCAAACCTCTGTTAAATGACAATATAAGTTTGTTGCACAGATCATGATGAGGAATATGAATATGACCTGAAGGTTGCTTCAGGCACGTGGTGTAATAAATCTATATTAACATGATTGAAAACTTCACAGTTCAGACCAAACTCCTTAGCTGCCCTTGTGCCCTGCTGTAGTTACTCCAGTTTTCTCCTCTATCCCCTTCATCATCTCAAATGACCTAGCTAAAAAAAACTTCAGTCCATTTATGCCAACTTCCAAGTCCTGCCACTTTGAGGTTATCTGATAGGTATGGTCCTTCCTTCTGTTTTCCCAGTTTGGGATCATATTCTTCAGTGTTACATACTTTATTCCCCCGAAATTAAGAGTTTGAAAATCTATGAGAGAGCTAATACATTTAGACCACTAAACAAACTGAACTATTGTTTCACCCTCATAGGCTTAATAGAATCACCTAATGGTTGAGGTTGGAAGGCATCCCTGGATATCATCTTGTCTAACCCACTTACTCATAGAGCAGTTGCCCAGGATCACCTCTGGCTGGATTCTGAGTACCTTTAAGAATAGTGGTTCTTCTGCTCCTGGATATTCCTGGATGCCTGTGCTTGATATTCACACAGTAGAAATGTATTTTGTTGTATTTGTATGGAATTCCTTGTATCTCACTCAGTGCCCACTTCCTCCTGTCCTGTCACTGGACACCTCTGAGAGGAGTCTGGCATCATAATTTTACTCCCTGCCCCAGGTTAGATACATTGATAAGATCTCTCCAAGCCTCCTCTTCTCCAAGCTAAACAGCACCAGCTCTCTTGGCCACTGCTTGTTTGTCACATGCTCCCTAACCTTTAAATACCTTGTTGCCCCTCCACTGAACTCACTCCAGCATGTCTACATCCATGTCCATTTATACACTGGATGCATTCCAGTATGGCCACATCTCCTGCACTGGGAAGCCCAGAAGTGGACACAGCACTCCCAGTGTGTCTGTGTCTCACCAGGGCTGAGCAAATGTGAAGGATCACCTCTCCTGATCTGCTGGAATTGCTCTGCCTAACGCAGCCCAGGAGGCTGTTGGCCTTTTTTGCTTTGAGAGCACATTGCTGGCCCACAGGCAGCTTGTTCTCCAGCACGCTCAGGTCCATTCCTGCAAAGCTGCTTTCCCACTCTGCAGCCCCCAGCCTGTGCTGGTTCCTGGGGTTGTTCTTCCCCAGCTGCGGGACTTCGCATTCCATTTTGTCAGATCTCATGAAATTCCTGTTTTGCCATTTCTCAAGTCTGTTGAGGTCCTTGTGATTGGCAGCACAGCCCTCTGGTGTATCAGCCACTCCTCCCAGTTTTGTACTGCCTGCAGACTTGGTGAGGGTATGTTCTGTCTCATCATCCAGGTCAGTAATAAAGATGTGGGACACTTTTGGACCCACCTTGGGGCAGTAGTGAATGGCCTCCAGCTGCATTTTGTGCACAACTGTTTGAGCTTAATTTTTCAGTCCAACTCACTGAGCACTTACCTGTACTTCATGAAGGTGTTATGGGAATGCCAAAAGCCTTAGTAAATTTGAGATGAACAAGATCCAGTACTGCCCTCACCACTGATTCAGTCATCTCCTTGTACAGGACAATTAGATTGGTCAGGCTCAATTTCCCCTTCATAAATCCATACAACATGAGATTTAGCTGGAGGACTGTCACCAGTGGAGCACCCCAGAGGTCACAGCTGAATAAATGCCATTTAATTTCTTCA